TTTCTTTGCTCTTTCTAGGTTCCAGATTTAACACTTATAATGAAGGGTAGTCATTTTTTCTGTTATAATCTGTTTTAATCTGCTGACAGTCGTGACGAAAATTACGAGATGAATCTTAAGATAACTATCAATGATTGATTAACTAGTTATCGTCTTAGAAAATGTTTTAAAAATTTAGTTAAATAAAAAATAAAATGATGTTGTTTTCAAAATAACTATATCAATAAAAAAATTTAACAAATTTATTTTTAATTTATTCTCAAAAAGTTTGTTTTTGAAGTTGTTAATTTTATTTATTTTCAGTAGCTATTAAAATAAATAGGGTGTCGATTTTTACTATGACTATTAATAGTTTCACAACTCTATTCCACAATGAATACAAAGTTGAAGATTACGTATTAAATGCTATTCAATCGAATGAAGAAAATGCAATAAAAGTGTGATGAGAAAGATTAAGTGAAATTTATGTTAAGATAAGTTAGAAAACAGGTTTCCGATACTAATTAACTTATTTAGCTCAGAATTATCTCTTTCAACAAAATAAAATCCTTCATAAATAAGTTGTTATTTATGATTATTGATTTAATTCATAATTGATAAATAAATCGCTTAGTTGCGTAGAAGAAAATGTTAATGTATTTTTTATTAGGTCACAAATCTTGAAATATCAATTTATCAAATACAGGCAAAACACCTAAAAAAATATTCTTCTATGAATATCATAGACTCTTCAATTACTCAAAAAAATATTAATAAAAACATTCCATTAATTTTTCTATTTATCTGTATTTCAGTACTTTCAATTTGACTCTATTTGAAATATTTGTCTTAAAAACTTAAAAAGGTATAAAAATAAAAAAATTTCCTTAGAGTTATTTAACAATCACGTAATTACTGTTCCAGGAATTTTAACAGCACATAAATTATTGAAAAACAAAAATAACATGTATTTTTAAATTTATATTTATGTACTACATCTCTGTATTTTTTTTTATAATTGAAACGTGTGTTACACATTGAGATCTGTATTAACCGGCTAAGCTTTCTTTGAAGCCGATTTACATGCCCTCTTCATCACATAAAAAATCTACGGAAGTAAACTGTTAGGTGTCAAATTAAAGGATATTATTTGGAGGAATGTTTTGGCATAAGTCGTATGTCATCTCTGAATTTACGAATAATAACGAGCAACATCCGCCGGCATGGAAACTATTCCACACTCCAAGTGTATGTTGACGATGCAATTCGGTAATTGCCGCGATAGATGTAGATTTACCGCCTGTAATCTCTTTGATAACGGCAACAATAATGTGATTTATGACTTTCGGATATTGCAACGATTTTCATCGGATATGCTACAATAAATTTCCTAGGGCTTATAAATATTTAAATGTTCATTTAATTCATTATGTATGCCGTGAAGATAAATATCTAACCCATTTGAAATTGTCACCCTTTAAACTCAAACCATTGAACTCCTTTAAAGAGATCCATTCATACTTGAATATCTCGGTTATCACTAATATTAAATTAGTAAAATTTCATTTGAAATAAAGATAAGTAAACGACAAAAGTTGTCATAAAAGTTTCTTGTAAAGCATTCGAATTTCAGGCCTTGACATTATGCTCTGTGAATGAATTAACAAGAAACGAGCTCTCCTCCTCTTACTCTCAACTGCCTATTTTAGTCCAGACGCAAACGGCTCTTTTCTAAAGGGGAGAAAATTATTTCGGGCACGTGCGTGGTTTTCCCACAAGAGTAAAGCGAGCAATTTGCCCCACGTTTAAGAGTGCATCGTTGTAAGCATTCATACCCGTTGGATCTCATGAACCCGCGTGTTTATATACTGACAGTTACAACCGGATATTATTTTTTTTGTATTTTTATCGCTTTATGTATTTAAGAAAATTTTTATTGAAGATAAATGCAGATTTCTTCACACCCTATTTGCAGTGATTTTAATTTAATTTAAAAGATCATTTTAATTCGTAAAATTATCATGAATCGTTCCTTAAAAAGATAAGAATTTAATTTCTATTAAAAATTATATAAAAATATGATTTCTAGTTTAGTTTACATATCAAATCTAAAAAAAGTTCTTTTATACTTAAAATTTTTGTAAATCACTACATAAAAATTTTGATATCAATTTTCGAAATCGCACACAGTTATTATTCAGTCACGATTCGATACAAATTATTCCCGCACCTGCATATACCTGAAAAAAACACCTATACCTGTATACACTTGAAAAGAAGAATCAAACAAAATAAAAATACGGTGATTACTACCCTTGAGTTAAATTTACGTATGAATTACGTGTAGGCGAGGGTGCTTTGAAATACTACATGAATACTGTTCGCGTAACGATCGCCGGAAGGCGTAAAAAAATTCATTCGCAGACCAAGAGTGGCTGCTGACAGTAAAGAACTGGTTTAGAACTCACGAGGCTCAGCAACACGTGAGAGGAAGGAACAAGAGAGTAACTGGTAAAAGTGCGAGAGGTATATGAAGATAAGAGAAACAAAAAAGAAATAGTGGCTGCGTGTGCAATCGCGTGGATCAAGAGAAGCGCGTCTTTGCGCGTGCAAGCGCAATCACCAGAGACTAATACAAGAGTACAGAGAGTCGACCCTTTGCACTTGGAGAGTCGCGTTGCAGAGAGAACAGCGGATGTGCTATGAATACGAAGAATGTTTAAACTTGTCTTTCACTTATTCTCTTCTTTGTTTCTTACCACAGTAACATAGGTATATTATGTATTATATACCAAATCTCAGATTGCATTTCATTTTTGTATTTTTCACTCTTCATTACTCATTGAAAAATTTTTTTAATATCTGGTTAACATGGCTTTAATAAGAATCTAGTGGTTTCATATTATTTTTAGATCAAATAACACTACTGAATGTTTACAACACGATTGCTATTACACATTTTCAAATTAAAAATTCAATTTTTATTTAAATCATTTTTCTCTTTTAAATATATCTCTCAGATTTTTTATCTTCTTTTAAAATCATTACCATTTTTTCATGCCAAGATCATACGAATTTATCTTCTGCTCAACTTTCCAGTAATTTATAAAATGTTACATTTTTTAAATAAGCTATATAATTTTATAGAAAATTGCATCGTAAGATTTATTTCCAGATAGGGGGAGAGTGATTTTTAGATCAACCGATATCATTGAAAATTCAATTAAGCGAAATCAACTGAAATAATTACTTTAATATTAAATGCTGGCAATCAATCTTTATTGGTTACGCCAATTCCTTAATAAGTTATTATATAAGCATTGAAAGTGAAAAAAATTTATTCTTAAAATATATATCCTATCGATCTACAACCGTAAAAATTGGAACAAAAAAAAATAACTTCAATAAATCGCAGACAAAAAATAATAAAAATGGATTATGTATTTTTAAATTGAATTTTTTTTCTTAGTAGGTATTTTTGTAGTTGTAACGGACGAAAATTTTGAATCGAAGAATGGTAGAGGATATAATTTGCCACAGGTATCCTACAACTTATAGCAATACACGCAAACAACAGATGCACGAAGAAGCTCACCTTGTTCATATACTTATTCTTTTGCTTCTCCCTGTCAGTACCTACAATTCATACCTGCGATACACCGTTAAGGAAACTTTGTGGGATTTCGGAGCACAAAAGATTGCTCTGTACAGTGAGGACCAACCGACTTATATACGAGCAAAAAGAACTAATGTAAGTTGGATACTATATAATACATCGAACACCAAAGCCGAGAATTTTTTACGTTGATTTATAAAAATTTGTCTTGTATTTTTAGCTCGGTTCGTAAAGTCTTTCCACTCAATCGCATTTTTAAGATGAATACCTTCATTACTCTGAAAAATGCCTAGTAGCTATTACTGAATTTAATAAGAAACAAACAAACTACAATTTTTTTTTGCTACTGTCCTTGATCGAATTTTCGTGTGTCATAATAAAGAAACGAGTATTTCTTAACGGCTGAACTAAATAAACACAAGGAGGCTTTAGAAAAAATTGATCCAAATGTCAAAAATTATTTAAAATTTTAAAAAATATTTACTCACCATGATGTTTATAGTATAGGCAACAAATTTCAGGTGATACAGGATCCTTAAATAAAATCCTTCAACTTCAAAAACACGATCACAATCACTTAAAACACCAAAAAATTCACTAAAAATATTCACATTCACTAAACACTCACACAATTGACTGGTTGATTATTACATTTATTCCGATATGATAAATTCATTCGCGAAAAAATATAAACTTTAACGCGATTTGTACTTAATAACAATATTTCTTGCCGCAACTCGATTTGCCGGACGACAGGACGGCGGCAGCGCAACAAGTGATCCATGGGGACAAATTTAAGTTTGTAGTTCTTTGGTAAGCCGTGTCCCTTCATATCGATGGCGCTAAAATCACAGTTCATTGTCTGTGAGACGCTTCGTTTCACCATTGTTTGTTTTATGAAAATTTCTCAGATTTCTATGTACATTTTTTTGAAAATATTTGTAAGAAATATTCTAATAAATAGCTACCCAATTTCCAGAAAAATTCAGCTGTTACATTTGTACTTAATTTACTTTATAGTTAAACCTAAGGACGCTATGTCATTACTCATAGTCCCTTAGCGTTAAATTTGACAATGTCTTACCGAATTGAAGATAAATGGCTATTTTTCTCTGATTTGTGAAATTATTTATAACAATTCATATGCCGTAAAATGACCTTTCATAAAATCATTAATAAGTCATAGTTATGAATCATTATTATTAAAAATATCTTGTTTTATTTGGAAGGACAGTAGAGATGTAATTTCTCGATGGATGGCGTCCGACTGAATGAGCAGTTCTTCATTTCGAGAAGTGAGGGAGCCACTGATTAACTTCTCCGGTGGCGCGAAAAAGACTGATTACGTTCTCTGACGTATTTTTATCGAAGTAAAAATTAAAAAACTGTTTCACTCTCTTATTGATAAAATAGATGTTCTTCAAAGTCCTTGTTTATCCATGACAATAGTTCGTTTATTTTCGTGTTATGCGGGTAATAAATACACGTAAAAAATGTATTTACGCAATGTTAAGTGTTTTATTTCAATAATAATCACTATATTAATGACTAATTACGTCAAATCAACATGTATTGAAAGTAAATCAGTGTGCACTTGCATTCGGTCTGATGGAAAAGGTTATGATTTATCGCCCTTAAAACATGAAAGGTCAATATTACAACATTTTAAAGACAATATAAATCATAAATAATCTTATTAACTACAATATTTTTATATAATTTACTTATCTAATAAACATTGAATTTATTTTTCACAGTCCTATTTTTAGTGCTCTAAATAATTTTGTGTTCCAACCTTGTAAAAATATTGATTTGACGTTCAAAGGTTCAGTTAAAAGCGACTGTAAATCTTCTTCAGTAAGTTCAATTGTCATTTTTATGATAATTTATTTTGTTTTTGTGTACATTACAATATGTCTATATGTGACACATTATTATAATAATTGACTTCTTTATTATTTCCAGGTGTGTATGAATAACAAAACTGAATCTGTAAATCTAGGAACAATTGAAGAGTCAGAATGGGAATTATCTAATGATAATGACGTATATTTAGTATTCAAACATGGAAAATATATCACAAAAATAAATTTAGTATATTGCCATAATTGTAGTTCTACGTTAATTGTTCAAAATTCTTCTCTCTCAACTTATGTAAGCTCATTAGCTTATCTCTAAATAAGATTGATTATGTACTATCATAACACGTCTATCATCGTTTCATAAAAGTAAATTAAAACTTAATATAGATACTTATAAAATTAATTTTTTCTTTCGCAGAAACTTGTTCTTGTATCGCCAAAATGCGGTTTAGTCATGTTAAGACCCAGAGGACTTTCTACAGGTTCAGTTCTGGTTATTTTATTCCTTGTATTTAGCAGTCTATATTTCATTGGAGGTGCAATGGCACTTAAGTTTTTCCGAGGTGCTGTCGGCTGGGAGTTAATTCCGAATTATGACTTTTGGTCTGATCTTCCTGTACTCGTGAGGGTAATTTTATGATTTTACCAAACAATTTGTTATATTCAAATCAAATTTAATTCAAAGAGAGTCATAGGTTAATTAACGTCAATAGCTCAATTATTACTTTTATCAATATAAATTTTATTCATGCAATAACAAGCTATTGAAAGTCGGGTTATTGCATTTTGTTTCACAACAGGAATATTGAAAATTATATTTTTCTTCCAGGACGGCGTAACTTTTACTCTTAGCGGTTGTACAGCTGTGAGTTATGAAAGAATATAATTATATATTTAAAAAAAACATTGGAGATATTAACGTAAGTTCCAATAATTATTTTTTTAATTTTTCAAAAATATTTTATAATATGTAAAACTGTTACTTTATTTTATGTCGTTAATAGATTTGATACATTATATTGAGAAGTAATTAATTTTTATTATACTGGTTTATTAGTGTTTCTCTCAAGTCTTCTTTGAAGTTTAAATGAAATTTTCTCTTCTGATCAGAGCTGTTTTAATTTAAATCACATGGATTAAATACTTTTGATAAACACACAGAGGCCTTCTTTTTCATATACTCAACAGTAATTATAGCTCGTATAAATGTGTGAAACTATCGATAAAAGATAGGAGAAATTGAAAGCTATCTTTGAAGGGTATAATTATCGAATATCGTATTCAATAATGTGACTTTCGTACTAATCGTTTGGAGTGTATGATACTCTTGGAAGTAGTTAAATAAAAATGAAAGTAAAAAAAAGAAATAGAGCACATAATTATTAAGTTGAGTTACTTGATGTTTCATTATTTGTAATGAAATTATTTTTAACAAATTATCGTTGTAAAAGTCGTTTATTATAATGTTTATATGAAATTTTTATAAAAAATAAACTAATTACAATGTATATGAGTTCATAGACATATTATATATATATATATATATATATATCTTTTTATGAATATTTTTTCTCTTTGTATTTTATACAAAAGTTGAAAAATATATTATTTTTAAATTTTCATTGAAGTACAATTAATAGATTATTCTAAAAACTTACAAAACAACATATATTTGTGTTTATTAAATTCTGAAATACTGAGCAACAAAAGTATCATTTTTTGCACTTATTGATTCTAATTATAAATTCATAAGATTTTACTTTTTTAACTTTTAAGTTGACAACAATTATAATATTTAACTTTTCATGTATAAAAATTATCTTTAATTTATAAATCTTAATAACCCTGAATATTTTCAATTAAAATTTCTATCTCTTCATTTGTTTCAATTACTAGCCAATTATTGCTCACATTTAAACTATTTATATGGATTCCTTTAGTGGAAAATGCACTGACTATTGTGGCAAGGTCCTGAGGTCCATTTGTATGGTAAAGTGAAATGTAGTTTCTCAAAACAATACCATTGTTGAATACAGCATCATCAATGGATAACAATAGATGTTCATCGTTTCGAACTGTCCCTAAAAAACAAAAAAAAACGCACATTGTATTGTATAAGAAATATATTTTTGTTAAGAGTCTAACTGTCATGAATATATAAAGTACTAGATAATAAGTAAATATATCAGTAACTAAAATTATATCAAGTCTTACAAGATTTTACATTTTCAATGTAATAAAAAATTAGTGTCGGGTTCAAGCCTTATAAATCTTATTTTTTCTATACAAACATTTAAGAAAAAAATTTTTAATTCATAATAAGGTGATAAGTATATATTAGAATCTGATAAACCATAAATTAATAAATTTAATGTAGTCAATTATAATTGAATTAAAAGACCACATCTTTGTTCATTAAAAAATGTAATCACTTGTAGAATATTTTTCAGTATATAGTAATATATATAATCTATGACATGACATAATTCTATTTTTTAGTTTAGTAACTTACCTTTAATTTGGTGTGTACCAACTCTAACAACAACTGCATCATATTCTCCATCTCTATGACTTTCTGTTATTTGAATACCAGCGTCTTTGGCTAGTGTAGGGGCATTAACTAAGTTCAATCCATTTTTAGTTTGTCCTGCAAGTACTCCTAGAAGTACTGCGGTATGTAAAAACTTCTTATTTAACATTCCAGTTCCGATAGTTTGACTTTCCATGGAAGCAGTCATGTTTTTCTTGAAAAATCTGGCACCTATTTGACCTAATTTTTTCGCCAGTTCTATCCATATTCCGTTGTCGCCCGACATAGTTGCTGCTAGTATGGGTGCATTCACGATGCCTGTTACAGTGAATTTATCCGTAATTCCTGAGATAGCAAGAAATTGCTCGGCTATTTCAACTGCTACTCGTTCTTGCGCTTCTGCCGTACTAGCCCCTGAAGAATAATAAATTGTAATGATTACCATATGAATCTTTTTGAAAATTCTACTACCAAAATTTTATTTCAGTTAAAAAAATTTAACTCTCAATGGAATTGGTAGAAAATTTTATTACAGTTTCTTATCAAAATAATTTGTATTGTTTAAACAAATTTATGAAGCAAGCATGATTTTAGTATTAATCTTTTACAAAGGTCTTGGCATTGATTAGAATAATTTTTTATTTCAATAAATATGTATTGGTTCTCATAAATAATTCAAAGGGTACTTTAAAATAGTTCAGTGACCTGCAATATAATTGTATTTATTGAGTTTAAAATAAAACATTACAAATTTTTACTTTATTGTCACTGCCAAGACTTCAGAAAGTCAATGTTAGTGATAAAAATAAAATACTATTTCTTTCGTTTAAATTTAATTTCTTTTAATTAGTCGAATTTATTTTAATAAATTAAATTATTGCTCATGTTTCAATTAACAAAAGACTCATGAATTAAAGCTTGTTTCAATAATTGTGCTTTTCTTTTCCGCTTTTTTTTTATCTTTGAATTAATTTTCTTTCCTTGGTGGCAAGAAATTACTACTTCCTTTTTTTCGATTTTTCTCAAATGAACTATAGACAATTAAAATTTATTAATGTTGAAAATAATTAAACCTTTAATAATGAATATTGTTGTAATGTAATGTACGTAGTTATTTTCAATTTTATTAGGATTAAAAGCTTACCTAAATGAGGAGTAGCAATAACTTTAGGGTGTTGAATGAGTTCGACGGTAACAGGATGTTTAGGTGGCTCTTCTATAAATACATCCAAAGCTGCACCTGCACAGTGACCTGACTTGAGAGATTGAAGGAGTGCTTCTTCATCAATAATTCCACCACGAGCTACATTAACTATCCTCACACCTTTCTTGCATTTTGCTAATGTAGCAGTATTTACGAGGTCTGTAAAAGAATAATAAATATCATTAATTGATGAGTTTATTATGTTTGTTATAAGGATCCCAAAATACTTTATAGATAAAATACTCACTTCTTGTTTGTGGAATAAGTGGAGTATGTACTGTAATGTAATCAGCAATAGGCCAAATTTCATCTAGTTCCAGTTTAGTAGCACCAATACTAGCAGCTGCTTCAGCAGTAATAATTGGATCGAAACAGACAATCTTCATTCCGAATGACTGCATTCGGGTGGCTACTTCACGTCCAATACGTCCAAAGCCAAGAACAGCTAAGGTTTTACCATGAAGCTCGAAACCAGAATACAATTTACGATCCCAGCGTCCTTCTTTCATTGATTGAGTTGCTTGAGGTACATGTCTTGCGAGGGCTGAGATCAGTGCACATGTCAATTCACATGCACTTATACTGTTACCACCGGGGGTACTAGAAAAAAAATGGAATCAAATGATGATCTCTTTCTTCATAGCTCTATTCAATTTCTACATTCTATCCTTACTTTGACAAACACTTCAAAATATCATTCCCTTTCATACTTCAGTTCATTACTTTAACGGTTTTTTCTCTGAATGAAAATGATATGAAGTTCAGTGTGAAATAGTTCCACTGATCTTTTAAAAAACTTTTTTATCTATTAGGAAGAATTAATTTTCGATAAGCATTTATTCTAGTGATGATTAAAATTTGATTTTTCTTTCTTATAAAGAAAACAATTTTTCCTCTTTCTTTCTTCCCGTGGGTGAATTCATAATATCTTATAAAATTGAATTCAAAATTGAAGATTTCGATAGAGACCGATAAAAAGAATAATTGCTTTCTTTATTCGATGAATTTACAATTCTAATAATCCTCTTCCTAAATGATAAATATATCAGAAAGATTTACTAATTTCATTAACATTTTTAAACATGTTTTTTATCTCTTGAAATGGCAAACTACTCCAACTAAATAAACTACAAAAACTGATAAGATAGTATTGGCATTCATTTTTGAATTGATATTCCACTTTGATTAAATCTCTCCATCTATTAAAATTTCAATTTTTTAACTAAAAATAGTAGTTGTACTGTGGAGATTAGTCTTCATTATTTTTGACTAAAATAATATTCCATTAAAAGAGGAATTGTTTACACAGAAACTATGATTTTAATTAATCTATCCAGAAATTAAATTCCATCCTTTCTAAGAGGTTTTAACAGAAGCACTATCATATTTTTTAACATTCAATACATCAGTTTTTATTGATATAAATTCAAGCTATATAGATTTATTACTTATTGTGATGAATTCTTATAAAAATGAAAAAATTTCTGAAATTAAAATGTTAAAATACTTACTTAAGAACAACAACTCCATTTCTCGTAGCAGCTTGAAGGTCAATATTATCTACACCAGTACCTGCTCGACCAACAATTCGAAGATTAGGAGCCGACGCAAGTATTTCCTTCGTAACTTTGGTCTCTGAGCGTACAATTAAACCGTCGTGTTTCTGCACAAATTAATTGTTTCGTAATGCAAACTGTTGTGAAAAGTTTCTTGATAAAATAAATATTACTAGATATGATGTTTCATATTAATTTAGCAAAGATAATTAGAAAATCTAATATAGGTACCGGAGTATTCAAATATGGTTTAATATTAATGACTGTTGTATTTTTTATTAATTTATAAATTATTATTAAATTCCTTACAATAAGTTAAAAGCTTCTCACGTTAATTGAAACTCATTATCTATAGCTTTAGCTATTATTTTTTTAAGATCAATAGGTTCAATTATAAAAAAATATAGTGGATCAATGAAACACACCAAGAACATCTTCAAATAAATATGAGATTAAAATTGTTAAATTTTTTGAAAGATAAAATTGACTTGATAATTATTCTTTAGTTGGTATTATTTTACAAATATGTTAATAAATTGAAAATGTTTAAAAATTTACTTCTACATAATAATGATATTTACATATTTATTTTATTTGTTAAATCAGATAATATTTTAATTTCAGCAGTTTAATTAAATAAAAAGAATAAATTTACAAATAAAAACAAATATTAATTACTTTAATGATAAATATTTACGCAATTTCATATTTATTCGTTAAAATTTAACTCCAAATTATGAAACAATAAAAAATTTAACATAAACATCACTAAATTTCCATTTATATTGACATTCATATCACAATATGACGTCATATTTTTAATACTTTATCATTCATAAAAATACTTTTTTTTCCTTATTTATTGATCAATGACAATATATCAATGCTTTATGAATTTTAATTAAATTTTCTCATCTTGAATTATTTTTAAAATTTCCTCTTGATATACAACTGTCTCGTTTAATGTAAAATTATGATTCCATGACCAAAAAAAATATTGTGACCGGAATCGATGGGGAAAACTGGTAAAACGAGGTGGTAAATGTATAGGGAGTTGCAAAACTGGTTACCACTGTTTCACTGCAGACAAGCAAAACAGCTTTAGTGCAATATTAAATGAAAAAAATTGCTAGCCAGTACTCGAGACTTGCTTACAAAGCTTTTATAGGCAGGCTAGTTATTTTATAGGAACCAAAATTTGTACCACATGTTTATTGCATAAATAAAAAAACTTGATAATGCTAAAAATAGTATAGCCTCTGTTAGACGACTTTTGACAATAATTTATTTGGTATGTCTTACTATTATACTGGTCAGAAGTTATATCAGCACTAAATATATTGACTTCCATTCTGCAGATATAATTAAATTTGAGATCAAATCAAATTTACCTGAATTTCCTGTATTAATTGATCTTTCGATAGCTTGTACTTGGTTGTCACTGGAACTCCATAGCTCGTCAATAAGTCAGCACACTTAGAATCGACAGGATCGCTGATAAGGACACTACTGAGTTTAATTGACATGATTATCTAAAAGAAAATAATTAGTATTAACATTTGAATTTAAACATATGTGTATAAATATCACCATTAATTCACTTTTGTAATTTAGGTTTGAGTGACGCTTCAACTTTAGAATTTTGTAGGATGATATATTATGTTACAGAGAAAGACAACAACTTTTACTCATGCTACTTCAGTGTCATATTACTAGCAAACTTTTGTATGAAATGAAAGATGAAACTTTATTTCAGATTTAATTGAATAAAACCGCATGTGAATGTAGTCGTAAAAGTATAAAGATGAATAATGTGAGTGAGTCTATATGCGTTCCATTTTATCATATAGTAACGAATTATAGAGTGATTTAGTGACTTCAAGATATCGAGTTATTATACATTGATATATAAGATAAAATGGTAATTTTGATTTTTTGCTTCATAAGCATGACATGAAGATTTTAATAGCAACTTTATTTTCGGAGTTTATTGGAAAATAATGAGAATCAACTTACTCACCGATTTCTTTTTCTTTGATATAGTAAGAGTTCTATAAATTATTAGAATGTCCACTACACACACACGGGTCGAGTGTTTCAATAAAACTGCTCGTTGGTGTCAGCGCTGCTATTCTTATAGAGTTGATTCTCATGCTCCCACTCTGCTGGTTGAACAACTCTTTCATCGCCTGATTCATGGATTCTCGTCACATGTATGAGATGTTTGTTGAATTTTGTTATTTGCAGTAGAATTCTTTTTCGAGACTGACTATTTAACATTTAAATACAAAGAGTTACAGAAGATATTTTTTAATCACTTTTAATTCATCCTCAATCGACAAAAACTTTTTTTGAATAAATTATCAATATTAAAAGTTTGTTATATTTCAATTTTTTGAAATAATTTATTCATTGGTTTCTATTCTACAAATTTTGAATTATTTAGATATTTTTATTTATTCAACTTCAACAGTTAGACTTGTTCTTCAAATTATGACTGTTACATAAACTTCTAATGTCATTGAGCACCTGTTGATACGCCTATCAAGTGCATTATATAAAAAAAATATTATAAAATTCAGTCAATTGAAGAAATAAGTAGTCTCATGATGATTGATAAATTATATTCAATAAATACTGTTTAATCATTCATGGCAGTAAATAAATGCATCAATAAATTTTTAAGAAGTTCATTAATTTAATATCCTTCAATAATTATTATTTGCTAATTTTTTTACTGTTCCAAATTAACATAGTAATTATGTAAATGTTCAAATTATTTGTTTGTTGAAATTTAATTATAAACTATTATTGAAATAACAAGTAAATGTTAATTTTGTTTTTAATTTTCTTATAGATGATAAAAAAATAGATTAACGCAGATAGTGATTATTTATTTCCAGTTAATGGAAAATATTGTTGATCAGGGGTCATGATGTTGAGTGACGCAAATTCTGCTGGGGGTCTGAGAACTAATACCGATTAACTATACCCACTAGATATTCATTCTCATTAGTTTTCCTTGCCCCTGATATTTTGCTTGAACTTTTGTGTATTTTTGTTGCACTTTTTGCCCCTTCAGCTTCCTATCATTCTACTGATGCAAACACTTCAACATATAGCGTTAGATATTGCTACATTTTCGTAGAACATGCAAATAACATGCAGTCCTCTCATGAGATTGGAAAACATGAGATACCTCCTGCAGACTCGGTTATCTAATCATTATCAGTGATGCAAATTCATCATCTTACAAATATTTGTTACATAACACAAACTTTTAATCAATCGACTTGTAGACTAAATCGAATATAATAAGTTTCTTGATGCGAGGATCTAAGTAGTTTTGAAAAGTTCATTTTTTTTTTTTTTTTTAGAATCTTCTTTTATCAATACGACTTTGTCACTGTTCTTTAACAATAAAAAGTTATTTCGAAAAAGTTATAACATAGCTTTAGGTCTTATTCCTATTGGCTTCATTCCTTTTGATTTGTGAACCCTATTTCAAGAATGATATTGCTGCAAAATATAAAAGTAAACAGGACAAATGGTTATGTATTTTACGCAAGGAAAATAGTTTAGGATAATGATATGGATTACTAAGTTTATCCTAAAAAATAAAAATTTAAATTTTTTTTTTTGAATACATTACTTGCAATCGTTATATAAAAAGCACAAAAATATTTTTATTATCAGAGTAAGATTGAAATTAATATCAGTCAGTAGATAATCAAGAGTTAAGAAAGAAAATAATTTATGTTACTGAAATACCACCAACGAACTTTGATAAATCTTCAAGTATTGCACTCGATTGCGGTTGAATAAAGTGTATTGATAATTGATAAAAACTTTCATAATTCATAAACAAGTCAGGAATATCTTGGAAAAATAATTATTTTTACAAGCGAGTGCCATGAATACAACTGATTGGTTTGGCAAAAAAAGCGTAATAAAAATTAGAGAAATAAAAAAAAGTCAATGTTAAAAGAGGAAATTGTGGAAATTTTTCGAAACAGAAATGAATATTTATTTAAAAATTTCTCTGGATATTTGGTTAGTTCAGAATAAATTTTTTTTCATTAATGAATCTAAACTTTTTCATGTGAACTCAAAAGTTGTTGGATAAAAAAAGACTAAAATTTTTTCTCTTTTTCGAATTGAAATAGTTTTTAGTTAGAATTAAAACATTTGTTCCAAACAATTTATAACTAAGGAAAAACAAGTGAATCGTCTGAGCCTTGGAGACTTAAAACTTTCTTGTTGAATATTTTTGGAATTTTTTTTAGATAACTTATGAGTTACTCAAAATATCTTACTCCAAATCTCATCAGTTAAACTCTAATCCAATGGTACAAATCATTTGAACTATTCTTAGAATATCTTGAGACAAATCTTAATGTAGTGTAATTAGAACTTTCCTAAGAAGTCAATATTAAGTAATAAAACTAAAATTAGCAAATGTTAATGGTGGAACATAATAAATGGCTTTATAAACGAATCGTGTCTGACTTGACCCCAACAAAGATCCCTTACAAGATATTCTGTTTTAGCAGAATATCAAAAATCACTTTGATTAGATCGATTGATCTTTGAAGACTACATTGGGTCAATATATTCCAGAAATATTATTAAACGAACTTTGTTTTGTAGAAAGCGAATTTAGGGGAAAAGTTATTGAATTGAAAAAATAGCTCTTTTTCAACCCCACATATATTTTATTGTGCAAAAAAAGTAAAATATTAAACAATATTCTAAATAATAGGTACTTTGAATGACTAAATATATCCACAACCTATCACTAAGTTAGCATATCATAGACGTAATTATTCTTGAAACAATACAGAAGATAATTATAAATAAACCATGTTACTGAAAAGTCCGGCATCTGAATTGATAAATGTGTTTTGTTGTAATTAGCTGATTGTAATTTTTAATACTTAAAACTGGTTCGACTCTATCATCTATGAGCAAACTAGTTATTGGCTGAATTTGTGAAGAAATTGATCTTCACTGGACTTTGTAAGTGCCACAAGCATTATATGTATTTTCTTTGTGATTCACTATTGTTTAAACATTTTTTAGGTCATCGCGATCGATGAAACTTTTCTTTGACACTATACATGATAATAAAAGAATTGTACTATCATGCATATGTTTATAACTAACAATAATGTGTAAGTTTTTCAGTTGATAATGGCTCTATTCTCCTTTTTTTCTATTTTGGCAAATGTGGTTTCACAATGCGTGTATGTGTAAGAGCTACTAGATGCATCGTCACGAATTTTCTGCTTTGCTATTCAGAATGTTTACTCTATTTATTTCAACATGAAAAATGTTGGTCCAATTATATTGGTAATTAAATTGCATTAATTTTTCCACGTGAAAATGGTGTTTTTTGGTAAATTAAATTGTAAGGATGATGAAAAAAAAAAAAGAAAAAAGGAAGAAAATGTTTTTACTCTGTCGTTCGTACAATCAGCTTGATGAGGATTTCGTAAACAATACGGAAAGGGTATCAGTATGGTGAACTGGTCAACTCTTGACTGTTGGTGGTAAAAAGAAAACATTGAGCTGGAATTAACTGGTTAGAAGACTAGTGAACCCAAGACCTCTACGATAGGGTCGATAAATAAAAACGTATATGGCTGATAAGAACAGTTCACGTGGTCTTGAGACATAACGCCCATGTATTGCAAATACATTTCGATCATTTCCAATTTTATTCTAAGTAAAATAAATGACGTAAAAGAAATATTGTTATAAAGATTAGCTGCTGTTCAAAAAACAAATAATTTTACAAACAATTAATTATTCCAATTATAAAAATGTGAGTTTTAGGCCATCTTGAAGAAAAGTAATAAAATTAACTTTTGAATGTCTGCAATTCTTGTTTTTGTATCTTAAAGTATAAATCCTTTGAAAACTTAGATTAAATTTCAGTTCATTAATTTAATTATCATTTACATTTTCTAAGGACTTCTGTCATAAATTTTCTCCCAACTACCAATTGTTCGTCTTTCATCTTTTCTTAATGTTAAAGTTTCAGTAATTTGCTAGTTGAATGAAACTAGAATTGATAGAGCTATGAGATCATTACATAATATGATTAAGACGAATAATCAACATAAGACTATGGTGTTAATTTAGCAATGGTTACGTTTATTAATGAATAGTTAAATTAAACTTCGCCACAAATGTTAACAGTGAGAGAAATTTATATAGTTGTGGTTGCTAGTTTATATTATCACTTTATTTGAAGACATCAACTACTGCAGCTTATTTGAAACTAGCTGTTTCCAAGTTTCAACGACTAGCAATTCTGTCTCTGACTCAACTTTGAAATCGATTCACTCTTTTCATCATAACTCTTATTGAATCAGTGTCTAGAAAAAAATACTTTCTGATTAATGTTTCATTTTCAACAGTCGAGTTGTATTAAACTAACTTGCAATATCAATTACTCAATTTGTAGAAACTAAAAATAGCAATATTTTTATTCTATAAGATTGAATACTTTGGAGCATGATTCGTATTTGTATACCTTAAAAAATCAATTATACAGCATTCGATGGATTTAGCATTCATTACATAATGTTTTCACATTCTTCAACCACACAGCGGTCCAAAACAAACATCAATGTACGCAGAAGTAAATAGCTACGTTTAAAGTAGGCTTTTTTTACAACAAAATAACTGGATCATCACACGTACTAGTATAAGCAGAGTGGCTTTATATGCTAGTTTTTACTAGCTGATGGTTGATCAGCAATTTACTTAAGCTTTAAAAAAGCATTTTATTTTTACCTCTACCATCCACATTCAATTTTTTTTACTTTCAAGCTGAATAATTATTCAATTAAATGATGGCTAAATATGTAGTTACATTTTATACAAGTGAAATTAAAGATTGAAGTATTCGACACTTAGGAAAGTATTCTATAGTATTTTTATCAGTGCCAAAAGGTGTGGGTATCATTTAATCAATTTCTGCAGGATTGTGGTGTCGGATTGAATTTACTTTAAAACCCAATCGAATTGGTTCAAGCCTCTAAAAGCTCTGTTTTTCCCTTGCTTATTCCAACGGTGAAGATTTATTAAATTTAATTCATTCGCATCAACTTTAATATTTAGACCAGGAGTGTCGTCTTTTACATAAAATTTCGAAGAGTTCAAAAACTTTCTAAATTTTTATGGTTATAGATATTTTTCTTCAACCACTGTAATATTTTCATATCGCTGAAACATCCCTATTTATACATTCGATTATATTTTCTCCCTTTTCTCATTCCTTCAAAGAATAGCATTAGAAAAAAGACCAAGGTAATTGGTATACTCGATCTGAGCACGCATTAAATAAATTTCCAGCAAGTTAATCATTCCACAGAGACTTGATGTCGATGCAAAGCATAGCATTATTCCCAGAGAGATATCTTCCGACTGCCTTTAAACTCTTGTTTGAATTTTCACCTCGGTCAACCACTAATATAGTGCGGTTTGTCGCTCTGGGACGATAAATCGAGATCGAATATCGGAGGAGCACAGATACAAGAGCTGGAGTTCAAGAGAACGAGAAAAAAAAAAAATAATAGGAAGAAAAACGACTGAGCTCTGGATCAATGCCAGACCAAGCGGAAACTCTTCTGGAATCATTCTAACAACTCGTGTTCTGATTTCTTGATTTTATCAAGCTCTTTAATTTTTTTTCATATTTATAACTCCATATTTATTCTTGCTGCAACTCGAATCGATTTTTATTTACTTTATGATTGTCTGCGCTCAGATATCATTGGAACAAATAGTGTATCGCCCGATTTTTATTGAAACGGATATATTCTCCAAACGTGCGGTTTTTATCTTTCGAATAATGCTTTGTAATTTTTCAATTCATTATTTTTTCTTTATCTTAGTAGTGTAAGGATACAGCTTTTAAGCACTCTTACTTTTTGGAAGAACAGACTTTTTTTTCACTCTCTTGATGTAATAAACTCACAAGTAGCTCTGAGGAAATATTCTTCTTCAATTTTTCATGCTCATTAGGTTTATTAATTAGTACTGGAATTCATGCATCAATGAAAATTGCATTGGAAGAAAAAATTAAAAAAAAAAATTCTAAGTGAGAAGATATTTGTGTTGGATCGTTACTCAATAGCAGATCTTTTTGAACAGCATGAGAATTATCGGGGATATACTTTAGGGAAAAATCGTCAGGGAAAAGAAGAATGATTACTATGCATTTTTCTTCTTTTCTTTCTAGAGCTCTAGAGCTGGATCAAGACATGTTAAATTGGTGAAATGAAAGACATTCCTGATAATATTACCAAGTCAACTGAAGTAAACTAAATTGCAATGGCAGAATTTTTCTCACAAACTTTCCTGAATGATATAAATACTCAGAGTGATCTTTGGTATTGACATGATGCCAAATAACAGTCAATGCCAAGTTTCAAATGATTCTCAAAGGTCTCTTGTCTCTACTGACCCTTTAATAGTGTAGTGTTTAATTACCTCAAGGGGTTTGAAATTTCCGAATTCATTAATTTAGCAGCGTAAATTATCAAGGGAGTTTGTATTCTGATGGACCTAATAGAAGTGATATTCTAAACTCTCGAAACTGAATGCAACATTTTCGGTATTCATTAAGTCTATTTATTACTTTCCATCGATTCATAACCACTTTGAAGACTCATCGCAATTCCGACACCAAACTCAAAACGTATGGATGAGAAACTTGTGACATTTTATCTAAATGTTTTGATTAAACTGAACAAGAGTTTTGGTGGATATAGAAGTAAGTTTCAGAGTTAATAAAAGAAAAATGTCTTCGACGTTTAGGTACAAATCCAGAACTTGTTACATTTTCCCTCTTGAGTTAAGAAAAGTTTATATAAGTATATTTGGGAATACCAAGTGCAAAAAAACTCATCTGCTCTTAAAATTTTTGCACTTGTGAGATTTCTTATGATGAAAGGTCACGTGTATATATTCACGTTCATGAGTAACAAGCTTGAAGTTTACGACAATAAATGTTCTTTTATGTTTGCAATGAGCATAAAGCAGTGGTTAATTAACTTGAAGCTAAAGCTGTCTTGGATTTATTAAATAACAGGTGTTACGCAGGGAATATTTTTTCTCAAGGTCAATCTTTTTCTGAACGAAAATACTTTTCATTATAGTTGTATATTTTTACATTTTTCTTTCTATTTCAATAAACCAGTTAATTTGAGGGTAAAAAAATTAGTTTTTGTTAACAAAACGTAAGTAGTTGAAAGAAGCTTTAGTTCTGAATATGTTTTACCTCGAAAACTTTAAGTTAGCATCATAATGTCACGACGAGCAACCATTTAGGATATGATGATTTTGCATACAAAGTTTGTATGTGAGTTGCAAAAGAAAAAATAAATGAAAAGTAATAGAGAATCTGAATATAATGAAAGACACTTGAAAGAATATGCACAGCGCTAAACTTTGTTCATCATTTCCGGAACTTCAAAAGATACGAATATTTATGCGGAAATAACAAGATGCTAAGTCACAGTGGCGTGAGTTGTTGAACCTTACTTTTATCTCATAAAGCTTTCTAATTTTGAAAGCCACTTCTATGAAATAATATGATTCTGCTAACTTTTAGAATTTGTTTACTATTTGTACTTCGTTTTTACCAAGCGCTTTTTCATATCCACATTGACTAGTAAATCATTAAAACTTTTTAAATGAAATTCATCAAATTCATATATTTAAAAATTTTAACAAGTCTCTACAGGAATAAAATTAAAAAATTACAATGAAAGACTGAGAATTTAAAAATAAAAAAAGTTGATGTTTAAATAAGCATTATAGATGTAAGCCATAATTAGTCTACATTATTATCTACTTAAATTATCGAAGGGCGTGTTGAAATAATAAATGTAGAAGCCGAGAGATAGCGAGCTATTTTCGGACGAAAATACTTGATGGTAATGAAAAGGATTTAATTAAAGCGATAACACCCTTAATTTAATAAAATTAAGATTACATATTTATTTAAATTGTTAGTCCCATCATTGTGGAATTGAAAAATAACTCTCATTGAGTTTTACAATTTAATATACATATTATTTTTATTTCATTTAACGGTGTGAAAATTATGTATTGACTGGAATTTACGGAGGTGAATGGATCCCATAATTTTCAGCTTTTTAGCCCAATAATGCTGTTGAATTATTCAAGGAGTCAAATTGTTCATACAAAAATTCATTCTTATATTTGCATGTATAATATTAGATATTCATAGCATGAAAAATTGTTTCGTATTTTGTTAAAGTTCAATTAAGTTTTAATAATTAGAATATTCACAATAATGAAAAGCATGAAAAAATAATCCATGATATCTTTAATTATTTAACATGCTGTTATTTTATTTCTTTAATGTATTAAATATGTATCTTGGCAATAGTAGATAAAATATGGGAAAGGATTTTCTACCCTGCTTTTCCTCAGGCTTTATATGTAAATCGGAAATACCACCATTTGAAATCTTTTATTTTCAGTCTAAATACATTTTTTAGTTCTATCGAAATATTGGCTTTTAAATTGTCTCCGTAAAAAAATGTTTAAAAAAAATTTTATCATAAAATTTTCATCCTCTTTTATTTAACAATTATATTTTAATTCCATTATTTTCATTCATTATTTACATATAAATAATTGATAATATTTTCTTTTATTTTTTTATCATTTATAAATATTTCTTCTTTATAAAAAATCATTTATTCCAATTGTTTTAACATACATTAATAAATTCTTAAAACCTAACATATACTGGCATATTCACTTAAATTTGCTTTCAAGTTATTCAAACGTATTTCCATTAGTAATATACATATTTTTTTACATTACAATAAATCATCATCTATAATATAATTAGCATTAATGAGTATTTTCAACTAGATAGTAAAATATTGAAAGCTTCGATTTATTTGCAATATTAAATTGTCGAAAAACATAGATAATTCAATTTTAAGGAATATATACACCCAGAACATGAAAAAATATACATTGCACAATAACTATTGTCTTTTTTAATGTTTGATAATAGTATTTGTAATATGAAAAAATGGATTAAAAAATAATTGCAAAACATTTAATGCAAGGAAATGTATTTATCAACTTTTCCAGGTGTATGTCACTCCTTAAGAAGCTTCTCATCCTTCAAACATCTATGTATACCATCATCATCATAATTAAATGTAAATAAAATATTTACATTTAATTTAGTTTAACATTGATAAAGTTTACTCTGTAGATTTGTATTAAGCTCTAAATAGTACCATAAAAATAGCTCTGAGTTAATAAATGAGCAATAATTAATTAGTGAAACAGATTTGCTAAAAAAACTAATAAACAAATAATATAGTTAACTAATCATTTATTGCTCATGTATTTCTTTAGTATAAATATTCTCTATTTAAAGCATCAATTTTTAATACGTGTAAATGGAATATTAAGTAAATGGCAAAATTTTTTAACTAACAATAAGACATTTAATGGAATGAAAAAGAAAAATCGTCACTGCCGTCAGTCAAGATTGTTCTTTGTTGATGTGCGTGCAAAGCAATGAATCTAAGAACAAGAAGCACGCTTTATTCAGCAAAAAAAGGAAAAATAAAAAACGTCTGGTACAATTCATCGAGTCCCATTCACCTTTTGAGGGAGGACTTTAGTAGTATTGTTACACTCTCGACTACAGTTGATGTTTTTTAGGAAAGAAAAGTTGCCCGCCGGTGAATAAAGGTCATTGGGAAGGTTGAAGATATTTTTCATCATGATAATTTATTAAGTTTTATCCTGACACCCTATCAAAACTGCGTCGAATAATACAATCTTGACATAAACTTTGTTGCAAGATGATATGTGAGCTAAGATGCTTGGATAAGGGGGTTAGGATTATAAAAATGTTTAACTTTATCAAACGATCCATTGTTGCTTTGACTTTTTATGAGAGGTAGATTGACTTTTTATGAGAGGCAAATATTTTGCTATGATCACATGTGAATACTAGATATCTTGGTATCATTATTGTACCAATAATTTCACACACAGCAAAAAATTTAATGCACACAATTGTTAAAAACGGTCCACATTTACACAAGTGTTTATCTTCTTAATTATTTTTTAATTCTACTGGCTTTTTAAGTACATGCGATTTTATATAGATATATCGTGCTTTTATGAAACAAATTTGGAAATTTTTCAACACTTACATCCTGGAAATGAACACATTTTCATATATGCATAATAATAATAATCTTATTTTTATTTTCAAATGCATCATGAATACTAAATATTTTAAATAACATTAATCTATCAAATTAATATATTGCCAGCAATATTTTAATATTTTTTTGGATCAACCAAATTCACGTTAAGTTAGAGAGAGTTCTTACACGAGACATTAATAAATATTAATCAATATCGCACATGTAGAAATAAAAATATATTGAATCACTTAAATTTTACAGATCTTCATAAATGTACTGTATACAGTACGAATCCTATTTTTTTAACATATTTTTTAAAGAAAACTGAGTCACGTAATTTTCTGACATCCTTATAGATCATAAAAATGATTTTTGTCCAAACTAAAGGACCGTTTTCAACATTCTTACTGCATAATTAAATCCACAGTATTTATTTCCTGTGTATTGTAAATACGTATTTCATATGTCGACTGTATCTTTGAGGATACTGAGAGGAATAAGATCGGCCGGTGGGCCGGATAGTGAAGTTCACGAAGGTTTAACGTACGTGCTTTGCCTGGTAATAGTATGAGTAGTACAAGGACTGTCATGGGCTGAGCTCAAACGTACAACAGAGCTATGAGGAACATGGGCATTATTGCCACTTTCTAAGCGTGCCGCACCACCAGCAGTAAATGCTCGAGCAAGACCTGGGCCTTGACTGCGAGTGCGGCAAACAAATAACTCGCACATAGCTTTGCGAAAATTGTGTGAAAGGAAAGCGTACAGTAGTGGGTTTAGACAGGAATTTATATAAGAAATGAGGAACGTTGAAACTGTGAAAATTGTACTAAAATCAGAGCTACGATCATAGTTTGGATCCCAGTGACGCCAGAGGATTCGTGCTTGTTGTGGAAGGTTACACACAGCAAACATAACAACTACAGCAATGAGCATCCTATAAATAAATAGTATTGATAATTTATCGTCTGAGAAAAAGGGAAAAATTTTAAACTTACCTGATAACTCCACGACGTGCTCGAAGAACATTTCTACTAGAAGCACGTACATGATTGACTGTTCCGTTTCTTGTCCTGGCAACTAGACCCGGTGCATTAAATGCAGCACCGCTCTTCCAAAGTCCCACAGCAATTCTCGTATAGAGACAACTCATGAGGAACAGTGGTATAAGATAAAGAAAGATTAAATTGATGGCATCTAGAACCTTTTTATTATGTTTCTCCATGTTTGCTGCACAAATGATGTCAACAGTTCCAGAATTCAGCACATTACTGATTGTTTCAACATAAACGAATCTCGGGGAAGCATAAACTGCTGCGAGAATCCAAACAATTACTACTATTGCCCTCAGTCGGCTTCTTGTGAGCATTGATTTGCATTTTATTGGATGAATTATCGCCAGATATCGTTCCACACACACCAGCACTAGTATCATGATACTTGCAGTGTAAGAAAGAGCGTACACAAACATGTAAGCTTTACACAGGAAATCACCCAAAGGCCAACTGCTCATTAGATAATTTGTCAGAGTTTGGTAAACACAAAATATCCCCACACAAAGATCAGCCACTGCCAAATTTGCCAGGAAGAAGTTTGTTATTCCTCTCATTTTTCGAGAGAACATGACCACGAAGATAACCATTAAATTACCTGCAAGCAAAAAGATAAAAGTGTGAATTTTCTGAGTTACTTATTTCATTACTTTTGTGGTGAAACACCTCTGTTTCGTTTTCAAAGTATCTCTGAATAATAAAGCCTGACTAAAATAAAAGATAACTCCTTAAATATAAACTTGAAGTAGTAAAAACTAATTGCTTTTTGAAGTAAATAGAAAGCAATGTATAAGCATTCTTAATAGTGTGAAATGCGGAAAATTCTAGTGGAAAAAATCTCTATGAAAAATTCTCACTCGAGAAAGAATTGCAATTATTTGCACATTATATATTTATGTTCATATCGTGTTGAAGGGAAAATTGAGAATAAAATAAAAATAGTTTTTGTTTCTTAAATAAATTTTTCAATCCTTTTATAGAAAAAATATTTTATATTCATACTTGAATATTTTCTATTTTATAGCTTGTACAAAAATAATCTTCAACAAAGATTTCTTATTTATGTTAAGCTCTAAAAGCTTTGGATCTTGTCCAGGAAATTGGAATAAACTTGTCTAATCAGGAAGCAGAGTGAAAAATAAATTTCCAAGGATGTATATTAATTTTGTTAACACAAGTGAAAATTAATTTTATCAGAAATTTAATTAGATTATTTATCATGAGTTTATAAGTTGAGTTCAAATTTATCGTGGTCGAGAGTACAATATTCCTTTTACTTCCAAACCATTACAAATTATCAGTGCATGATATTCATTGCGACCAAGTATCTGCAGTCATTTTTTACCCTCCAGAACTTCATAAAAAAATTTCACTCGTTAGCTCAATTGATTATTCTATGGACTAAAATTAATTTTCCAGGAATTAGACAATTATTTCGAAAGGGGATATTAAAGAAAAATCATGAGTGACATGAATTATTGAAAGAATTTCTTTTTTATTTATTTTGATAGAAACATCAGCGCTCTCATTTTTCAAGTTCAATTGAATACAGATAAATTTTTATTTTGCGTGTTTTCAACACATTTTGTTCACCACACTCATTACTAAGATTTATCAAACAATGTTTTTTGAAGTAGGAAAAAGATTATAGTGATGAAACGTATCTTTTTATACAATAAAAATAATCATAGTAAATTCCTATAAGATTCTTATATTTTAGATCTAAAATAACAAAGAAAAAGGATCAAGAATTCTTTGAAGTTTCACAAAACTTTTGCAAGCTACAATTTTTGAGCACAATAGATGTTCCATTTTGTACAATCTAATAACGAAAAGATAAACGTCTGCAGCTATTATACATTACATTCTTTGCATTATCTTTTCAATACTTGCATTTCAGATTCTCATAAAGTAAATTGAATTCATATGAGTAAAAAAAGCAGTTGGTATGTACTAATAGCATTAAAAAATTCAAATCACGTAATTGGATTCTAACAAATTAAATGATTCACAATCTTTGTCCGAGAAAATTTATCACATTATATGTAATTATCAGTTGATTAAATACATACGACTCTAACAAACGTATCAATGAAGAATGAAACATTTCATTTGTCTGTCCGAAAATAAAAAAACCATCAAGTTTAAACCATTTTCATTACATTATTAAAAGCAGGAAATTCTCGTTAAATTGAGTTAACCACTTCAAGGGTCCAAGGATTTCAAACTAATGTTATGTATATATTGGAGAAACTTCTTGGGTTTAGAAACACAGCTTTACACCATCAATAGAAGGTTTATTGGATTCCCTCTAGATCCCTTAATCATCAAGCCTCTAATTATCGCATGTTTATTATTCAATTGACAATGGACTAATGTTAACAAAAATTATGAAATTTTTTTATGAAGAATTGTCAAGTACTTTTTCTGATCTAAATTGTCTGTTAATCAAACTTTTTACTTGCTATAACTACTTAGAAATTTTTAGCACCAAAGTTTCTCAAAATTCGTCAGGTTTACTTTCTAATAGAAGTTAAAATCTGTTTATTTGAATATTGGCAAGATTTCAATTTATTTGACATTAGCATTGCTTTAAAGATAAATGTAAGTTTCTCCTTCAAATGTTACATTTTATGCCTACATATTTTTACCTCACATTTACTAAAAATAATCGTACATTTCATTAATAAAATAGAAACGAGTAGAGCATTATGAAACGATAGACCATTTTGAAGTTTTCTTTTTTATTCTCGAGCAATACTTGATACAAGTAATGAATAAAAAGTTAGTGTTCAATGAAAAAAAGTAAAATACTCTTGCTATATTGAAGAAACCTGGCTATCTACCTTATAAGAGTTATATTTATCTGCCAATAAAATATTGATTGACTCATAGAAACCTTATCTATCAAAAAATCTTGATTATCTGATTCCTGTAGAGATTACTAAATATTAACTGAGATCTATAACGAAGGATAAACCCTATATGTATATTCGGTCAGAGAATAGACGAAAGCCTTTGAGATACTCTAAGAGTAATGAAGAGCATAAACTTCATGTAGATGTAATTTCAGTTTCCATAAAACATAGTAGATGTGCTTGGGTAATTATTTTATGAAATCAATTTGACAACGAAACAGTTCAAAAGTTAATCGAACAATTTAGTTCTGAATAGGATAGTCTTCATCATTGTGAATACAGCAATTAAGTCGAACAAACAAATAAAAGTAAAAAAAATTTCTTTATTTTAAGTATACCACTACTCATAAATTTCATTTCATTCGAATCGATCTTTGACAAAAATTTCCAACTGATTCATCTGTGGTAGAAACTTTGTTCCATTGTTCGTTGTAAGTTGTGGAACGGGTGTTGTTCGTTGAATTTTACTGAGCTTAATTTAGACTTGCAGTTTGTATCTGAATGTGCACATTAAAATAAAAAATTGTGTTGATGAATTGTGATTTTCTTGGCTTAAATTGATTCAATAATTTAAAAAAAACAACCTATAATTTTGTCAGTCTGTAAAATTATGTGATGTTCTAGGTTTATTTATGAAATTTTTTTTCTCTTTTAAACAGTAGTAAATGTCATTTTGCTTTGTCTCCATATTTTTTAACTGTGCTGGCATGAATATTTTATTTAACAAATAATTAAAATTTATTACTATGTATCCCTCGCTAGATATGCAGTAGAAAAGTTTCTCATCGTTATTTATGATTCCAATTAGCTAAATATGGTTACAAAAATTTTAATATACAGTAAATAGTTTTGAGACAGAAAAATTCACAATAAAAATATTTTTATTACAATAACATATTTATGAAAAATTTAAACGATGCAGTGATGGTAGATATAATGAATTCAAAACTTGAATTAAATGAAAAAATTTCATTAAAGATGTGATTTTAAAAAGAGCATGCCATGTCATAGAAAATTAAAAAAACCATTAATTGATTGTCAATCACTACTACTGAGTTCAATACCTTCAAAAAGATCAGTTACTTAGAAAGCTTTTAAGTTTGAATAAAAAATAAATTTTCCCTTGACAGCATTTATTTTCGCTTGAATGAATTTTTGATTATCTCGAGATAATATAAAATAAAATGTACAAAATTGACGAAGTTTCATCTTGCCTTGGGTAACTGGTCAGCACAGATTGTAGTAAAATTTCCTTCAGCATCGATATTTCAATACCTAACAAACTTAGTTAAACAAAAATTTTCCATTGAAAATTTTATCATAATTAGTTAGAAAATTAACACCGTCCGACGTTAATAAATTATTCGATTCTTTTTAAAAATTTCGTTTAAATAAACAAATAGAAACCATAGAAAAACTTCAAACACATTACCGATAAAACAAAACAAAAATCATTCAGAAGTAATTTTTGAAAATTTGCCAAAATCGTTCTCAGAAGACAGAGTGTATTGACATTAGCAATAAAATCGAAAAAATCAATCACAGTCTTAACACTTTACCAAAACAAAGACTTTATTTTTAGCTTTAGTTTAAAATAGAACAACTTTTGAGTCTTCATTACAAATTTACTTAAAATTAATAGAACATCGAGGGAAAAACTTCTATATAATAAATTAGTTGTCAATTAATTCGTCAAATCCCAATCGGTTTATGGGATTGAAAATTTTTCAACGTTTCAATATTGAGGTATGGATAAACGTATCAATTAGGACGACCTTGTATCGATTAAGGACTATTATAAACTACATGAAAATGTCCTTAATGAGGTCCATGTTCTTACTATTGATGAAAGGATTAGATCCAAGGCCATTGGAGATAGGTATTAATTCATTTATTATACAACGGTTAGCTTATTAACTGATGCTTATGTCATTATAATTTTGTTAAGATTTCTTTTCTTTGAATGAAAAATATTGATCTGAATTAACATTCAGATAATCACGTCAAATAAACATCGATTTATCAAACAACTTTATTAAATATTTTTTTATATTTACTGAAAAAAGTCATTCATTACAAATCATATGAAGATCATGATAAATTTTATCATCACGTATCAGCTCAGCGGAATAGAATCGAAATCATAGATGTCACACCTCGAAGGCAGAAAGGATATGTGACTATTGTGAGTTACCGAGTGAATTTTTTATTTTCTTATCTATAGATATTTTGATTTATACAATCTGGAATTTTATTACTTTATTGTTAACGGAAAAGGAGATAAAGCGGAACACAATACATTAAGCGTTATATTAACAAATGTTAATAATTTTAAATGCATTAATAAATTGAAAAATTGATAAATAAAAAGTGCAATAAGCGTTTTTAAACTTATTTTAATATAGATTAGTACATTGTCTCGAGTGTTTCATTTTGTCCACCTTTCCCCTATATGTTCTAAAAACATTCTTGCAGTAGCTTATATGGTTTTTATCTCATGATCATGTTGATAGCTTAATAAAATTACTGTATATAAATGTGAAACATTATCTATGATGCTATGAAACTGTATCACTCAATCAGATTCTCCATACTGTCTAGTATTCTTGTTCACAGCGCAAATTTTTACCAGTTTCTGAAGTAAATTTGGGGATGAGATCTTATAAGAATAATGTCAAAA